AAAAAAAAAAAAAACATGAAATCTTAGCGGGCACAGGTGGCTCATGAACCTGTAATCCTAGCTACTCAAGAGGCTGAGAGCTGAGAATCACAGCCCAGGCAGGAAAAAAAAAATCTATGAGACTCTTATCTCCAAGTAAACACTCAAAAACTGCAAGTGTGAGCAGTGGTAGGACACTAGCCTTGAGCAAAAGAGCTCAGCGACAGCTCCCTCAACAGACAACAACAACAAAGCAGCAGCAGCAGCAGCTCAGGGACACTACCCAAGAAGTAGCATGCATGTGTTTGTGTGTGTGTATGTGTACACACATATGTACATCCTAAGGCTTGAACTCAAGGCCTGAACACCAGTCCTTGGCATTTTTCACTCAAGCAGAGTGTGGAAAGCCCAGGGTCAGTTTCAGGACTGGCACCAAAAAAAAACAAATGAGAAAAATATTTATTACAGCAATAAATGTCTTTCCTATGCTTTATATTTCATGAAAAAGACTTAGAATTGTGTTATCGGAGCAACATACCACGATTTCTCCAAAGCGCTGGAAGATGTTGCGAAGGTCATGGTACGTAGTGGTCTTCTCAAGGTTGCCAATGAACAAAGTCCTTGTTGCTTTGGGGTGAAACTCATCTATCCTTTCATCCAAAGGGCGAAATTCATTTTCACTTTCTGTTTCTGCAAGTGGCATGGGGAAGAGTAAACAGAGAAGGGAACTGCAAGGTATCCTTACGTAAATGTAAAATCTGCTTACAAACTCATACCAGGTGTGATGGTACACACAACTATAATCCCAGTACCCAAGGCCAAAAGGTCAGCCTAGGCTACACTGCAAGACCTTGTCTAGATTAGATAGAAGATAGAAGAGGAGAGAGGGAGAGGGAGAGAGAAAAAGAGAGAGGGAGGGGCAGAAGGAGAGAGAACAAGTGAGAGAGAGCACACTAACTTGGATTCAGAGAGTGAGTGAGGGGCTGGGAAGGTGGCTCAGTGGTAGAGTGCTTGCCTTGCATGCTTGAGGCCCTGGGTTCGATTCCTTAGCACCACATAAGAAGAAAAAAGCATAAGTGGCGCTGTGGCTCAAGTGGTAGAGCACTAGCCTTGAGCTGAAGAGCTGAGGGACAGCGCCCAGGTCCAGAGTTCAGGCCCCACGACCCAGACCAAAACAAAAACAAAAACATGAGCTCAGAAAGAATGGGATTAAACAAACACTTCCACAAACTGAAAAACTGTAAACACCATTAGCACAATGGCTTCCTTATTAACTGAGAAATAGGAAAACAAAGGCTGAAGAAACCTACTACAAAAAAGGTTGAATTGAATTTGTTTAGCTTTCAACATAGAAAATGTTAGACTTAAGGGTCTGAGGGTGGCTCAAATGGTAACATACTTGCCTAGCAAGCATGAGGCCCTGAGTTCAATACCCAGGTTCGATATTGATTATAGGTATGTATGTCATAATGAAAGCCCCCTTGTATAACTAATATATGCTAATTAAAAATTTTTTAAAGAAAATAAACTTGAAATTGAATAACATTTCAATGTGTTAAACTTGAACTCAAGGCCTTTCATTTTCTAGAGAAACACTGTATCTATTTAAAACCATACCCCAGCCTGAAGATGATACTTATCCATTTAGTTTTATTGGTTTTGACTGATTTATTTTGCAATACTGGAGTTTGAACTCAGGGCCTCATACTTAGTAGGGAGTAATTCAACCACTGAGTCATGCCTCCAGCCCTTTTTTCTACCAATTATTTTATGTGTGCGTGCTGGTTCTGCACCTGAGTGCTATTCCTGAGCAACTCCCATGCCAAGGCTAGCACTCTTATCACTCGAGCCACAGTTCTACTTCCGACTTTTAACTGGTTAACTGACGATAAGAGTCTCACAGACTTTTCCTGCCCCAGTTGGCTTTAAACCAGGGATTCACAGATCTCAGCCTCCTGAGTTGCTAGAAATACAAGCATGAGCCACCAGTACCCAGCTCTACTGGTCATTTTTGAGATAAGGGTATCAATTTCTGCCCAGGTACAGGTATGGTTTTGTTTTGTTTTTTAAATCACACCTGTAGTGATAGTCAAGCAAGAAGGAGTCTCATTGAACTATTCTGCCTGAGTTTGAAGCCAGAAGTGGACCTATGGCTAGCCTTGAGTTCAAAAGAGCTCAGAGACAACTAACAGGCCCCAAGTTCAAGTCCCAGGACTGGCACCAAGAAAAAAGAAAGAAAGAAAGAAAGAAAGAAAGAAAGAAAGAAAGAAAGAAAGAAAGAAAGAAAGAAAGAAAGAAAGAAAGAAAACGAAAAAGAAATAAAAGGAAAAAGAAATAAAAGGAAAAAGAAAAGAAAAAGGGTTGTATCAGATTCACAAGGTGACTTCAGAATTATAATATCTGTATTAATTTACTTACATGTCACTTTAAATTAGATACTCTCAAATGGATGTTTTGAATTTTGACTTCATTAGCTCATATAGGGTCAGAGTCCATTTTTGAACAAGAAGTCTGAGACTTCTTATATTAAGTCTTACAGCTTCAAGCTACTAAAATATTCCTTAAAATTCTCAATGGGCCCTATCTGTAAGACTTAATCTAGCTTCTGTTACTTATATTTTAAGATCATCTAGAAATACCAGTGTCACCTACAATAATAGATCCAACTATATTGGAAATATATTTCTGGTCTATCACCTAGAATAATGGATCCAATCTGTGCTGGTAATAATGGAAATAAAAATATCTAATGAATCCCTCACAACAGATTAGCATGTAACCTGCTTCCTAACTCAAGGTGATTCTACTGTCATTCTAAATAAATCAAATTCAACCCTTCTAGGAAGCTGCTTCCAAAAATGGTCTTAAGTACCACCTTTTTGTTGTTGGTGGTGGTCATGGGGCCTGGATCCTAGGCCTGGGCGCTGTCCCTCAGCTCTTCAACTCAAGGCTAGCGCTCTACCACTAGAAAGACAGTACCACTTCCCGCTTTTTCTGCTTATGTGGTGCTGAGGAATGGAACCCAGGGCCTCATGCATGGGAGGCAAGCACTCAACCACTAAGCCACCTTCCCAGCCTCTAAAGTACCACCTGTAGACTCACAAAGGTCAGCATTTTTCTATTATAGAAACAGAAAAATTACTACCCTTCCCATCCAACACAATAATGTTTTTTATTAAAGTGAACAATAAATATACTACTCTTTAAAAACAAAGATATAGAATTATGTCAATGAGTAGAGCTAGCAAAGTGTCTATACTCAGGATAAAAATGCTATGCTCTCATAAGCAGACAAAAATTGTAATTGGAATTCAACTTGTCTCTTACCTGGCCCTATCCATGCGGTTACTTCAATCTGCATTCCAAAGAACAGCTTTCCCTTTGATGCAGTTAGTGCTTTTTCTTGGTCCTCTTGCTGCCGAAAGAATACCAGTCCATACCTCTCTTCTGAAGTTCCATGTATCTGTACTGAAGTCACCTTGCCAAACTTCTTAAATTCATGGAAAAGGCCATCTTTAAGGCTTGTATCTAAATTCCCAAAGACAAGTTAGTTTTTCCAGTGTAATACAACTCAATAAACATGCAACTAAATCTCTAGCCTGGTGTTTGGTTTCTGGCATTCCTGGAGCTTGAACTCTGGGCCTGAACACTGTCCCTGAGCTCCTTTTTGGTCAAGCCTCGTGTTCTACCAGTTGAGCCACAGCACTACTTCTGGCTTTTTCAGAGTAGTTTATTAAAGATAAGAGTCTCACAAACTTTCCTGCCTGGGCTAGCTTCAAACCACCATCCTCAGTTCTCAGCCTCCTGAATGAACAGCTTGAATTTACAAGCAAGAGCCATCAGCGCCCAACTCTCCCTTGGTATTTGCTCTAAATTTTGTTAAAACATTACTTCTGGGCTGATAGCTTCCAAAGTGACTAAATTACAGGTGTGAGCCATCAGCCACCAGCAATCCATGCTTTCTTTATATGTCATCTATCATACCACATGTTTACATGTTTACATATCTAATATGTAGGTATAAGGAGGTATGTATATGTACACATTATGCATAAAATTCCATTTACCATGCAATTTCCATACATAGTCCAAGGATAACGAACTAGAAATTAAAGTACATTTATAATAATCTAGAAATTAAACTACATTTATAATAATAATCACTTGTTTTTTCTTTTTTTTGCCAGTCCTGGGGCTTGAACTCAGGTCAGGGACTGGGCACTGTCCCTAAGCTTTTTTTTTTTTGGTCGTTTGTGGGGCTTGAACTCTGGGCCTGGGCACTGTCCCTGCGCTCTTCAGCTCAAGGCGAGCACTCTACCACTTGAGCTACAGGGCCACTTTTGGTTTTCAAGTGATTTATTGGAGATAAGAGTCTCAAAGACTTTCCTGCCCAGGCTGGCTTTGAACCATGATCCTCAATCTCAGCCTCCTGAGTAGCTAGGATTACAGGCATAAGCCACGGGCACCTGGCTTGTCCCTAAGCTTCTTTTGTTCTAGCATTCTACCACTTGAGCCACAGCACCACTTCTGGCTTTTTCTGTTTATGTGGTACTGAGGAATTGAACCCAGGGTTTCATACATGCTAGACAAGCACTTTCCACTATCCCACATTCCCAGCCCATCACTTGTTTTTTCTTAAACAATCTTAAATGTTAACAAGACACAAAAGGAATGCTTGTTTTTACTATAGTGTATACAAGTCTATCTCATTCCTCAATAGCAGCTAAAAGAAAGTGTAAGTCACATAAAATTTTACCTGTAGAGCGTACTGGCAGATTCTGAACTTTGATCCCAAAACTTTTACGAGGTTCATCTTTTTCCAGAGATGAAAGCAACTGGGAAGTGGGTGCAGGGACTGCTGCCGACTGAACAGATCGGGCTGGAGAGTCATCACTTGAACTGCTGCTGGAATCACTGCTACACATGGGCAAAAACAAAACCCCACAAATTTGAGTACAAAAATGAACAGTAAAATGAGTAACATATAAAACTTCTTAAAGTTAGTAATAGCACCAATTAACAGACAACTTTAAGACTGAGATTTCATTGACTCCACCTATCATTTTCAATCTTCAGAGGTGGTACAACAGTAAACACTGGCCTGAGAATGCTGAAGTAATAGAACACAGCTGTAAGTGAAAAAGAAAAAATGCTGAAATCAGAGTGCGCGCTCTCTCTCTCTCTCTCTGTCTCTCTCCTCAACAACATATGTCACCCAAAAGACAAGTTTTGTTTTTTGGCTAATCCTGGAGCTTGAATTCAGGGCCTGGGCACTGTCTCTGAGCCTCTTTGTACTCAAGACTTGTGTTCTAGCTACAGTGCCATTTCTTGCTTTTTCTGAGTATGTCATTAGAGATAAGAATCTCATGGACTTTTCTGCTGAGACTGGCTTTAAACTGTGATCCTCAGATCTCAGACTCCTGAGTAGCTAGGATTACTGACATGAGCCAGCGCATCTGGCTCAAATATTGTTTTCCATGAATAAAGTGAACACTTTTTCTCCAAATGAAGTAAGACCCAGTGAGAGCTGAGGTCTGGTCTTGAACAGCAAGAGAACGCACATATTCAAGACCAACAAGTCCAGTCTGGGCTACATGGCAGGATCCTATCTCAATGTATGCATGTGTATGTGTACATATGTGCGCACACATGTCAGAGATATACAACAGAAAGACATGGAGAGAAAACTAGTGAATGTAATTCACATGATAATAATAGAAAACAATGTCTATAAACCTAGACCCAGAGATCTGTTTGTTTTTGTTTATTTATTTATTTTTGTCAGGTGGGGGGGCTGAACTCTGGGCCTGGACGCTGTCCCTCATCTCTTTAGCTCAAGGCTAGGGCCCTACCACTTACTTGAGCTACAGGCCACTTAGGTTTTTTTCTGCTTATGTAATATTGAGGAATCAAACTCAGGGCCTCATTCATGCGAGGCAAGCACTCTACCATTGAGCCAACTCTCCAGCCCCAGAGATCTAGTTTTAAATCTTGGCTCAGCCCCAGATGTAAAACAGAAATAATAAAAACAGTATTGATCCACAGGGCTAAATATAGTTGTGGGGCTTGAACTCTGGGTCTGGGGGCTGTCCCTCAGGTCTTCAGCTCAAGGCGAGTGCTCTACCACTTGAGCCACAGTGCCACTTCTAGTTTTCTGGTGGCTTATTGGAGATAAGAGTCTCAGGGAGAAATGGGAATGTGGCTTAGTGGTAGAGTGCTTGCCTAACATGCATCAAGCCCTGGGTTCGATTCCTCAGTCCCATATAAACAGGAAAAGCTAGAATTGGTGCTGTTGCTCAAGTGATAAGAGTGCTAGCCTTGAGCAAAAGAGGCTCAGGGACAGTGCTCAGGCCCTGAGTTCAAGCCCCAGGACTGGGGGAGGGGGAGAAAAGTCTCAAGGACTTTCCTGCTCTCTGGCTGGGTTTAAACCGTAGTCCTCAGATCTTAGCCGCTTTAGCTAGATTACAGATGTGAGCCACTGGCGCCCAACTACCATAGGGTTTTGAATACACCAAGCACTCAATATATTATTGACACTGTTCTTACTCCAGCCTGAATGGCCCTTTATTTGAAATGCTTACAAGCAGAAACACTAGGATTTTCATGTGATATCTCTGGAATGGGACTTCAGTCTGAACATTAAATTCATTTACATTTCATCTGTATCTTAACGTTCATATAACTGTGTATAGTATTTTTATGAATTTTACATACGAAAGTTTTATAGTAGTATAATGGATTAGTGTGATGTTGAAGCTCAGAAAGTTTCATATGTTTTGAACATTTCTAATTGTGGATTTTTCTAATTATTTTTTGTCAGCATGAAGTTTGAACTCAGGGCCTTATGCTTGCTAAGCAAGTACTTACCACATAAGTCACACCTCACCCCTTTTTGCTTTATTTTTATGGCCAGGCTAGCCTCAAACTACTTACTGTTCCCTGATCCCAGCCTCCCAAGTAGCTAGGATTTCATGCTTGACCCCCCTCACATTAAGGATGTTCAGCAAGGAAGAGAAAGAGAGAAAGAAAAAGAAAAAGAAAGAGAAAGAGAAAGAGGAGGAGGAGGAGGAAGAGGAAGAGGAGAAGGAGGAGAAGGAGGAGGAGAGCGACAACGACAACGACGATGACCACCTCATTGGTAAATTAATTTTTAGGAAATAAAATACCCAAAATAATTTTTCAGGTAATTTTGTTTATAAGTGTTTGAAGCTCTAATGAAAAAGTACATAATTGACTTGAGAGCTGTGCTGTGTGACTTATGCCTGTTTTTAAAAAAATAAGCTCGGGGCTGGGAAGGCGGCTCAAGTGGTAGAGCGTTAGCCTTGAGCTGAAGAGCTGAAGGACAGCACCCAGGCCACAGTTCAGGCCCCACAACCGACCAAAAAAAAGGGGGGGAAGAGAGGAGGATAAATGGTTATCTACAAAACCAAATTAAAAGAGGGAGTGTGTTTGTGTGTGGGTATATGTGCACGCCAATCCTAGGGCTTGAACTCAGGCTTGTTTTTGTTGTTGTTCAAAGCTAACACTCTACCACTTGAGCCACAGCTCCACTTCCAGGTTTTTCGTAGTTAATTAAAAATAATAGTCTTAGAGACTTTCCTGCCAAGGCTTCAAACCATGATCCTCAGCCTTCTGAGGAACTAGGATTACAGGCATGAGCCACCAGAGTCCAACTTGAGAGGGATACATTTTTATCTTGTCTAATATATCTAAGAACTGTGAGGAACACAAAATTCTCTGCTTAGTACTGGCTGTACAAGACTATTATAATTTTTAGTTTATTTACAGTATTTTCAAGCAGATTAACAGCAGGTACTGCTATCTTTATGAAATGTTGCTTCATACTTTCCTCCCTACGATGGCAGGCTCTTGTCTCAAGCAAGTAACTCTCAGGGATAATCTATCTTACCCACATGAGCTAGAGGAAATGGCCCATGGTAGTTTTTGTCATTTGTACTAAGACTACAAATTTCATATCCAAGACAACCACTAAAACATCCAGATAAATCAGTCGTGTCTTAGTGGACAGAACTCTGGTGCTATTTGTTTTTCTTTCAAAAATTAAAGAAAAATACTGTGGTTTCTTTCTTACATAAAACTAAAGCTATTTTTAGAAAACTAGGAATTTTAGCCCTCGTATGTTAAAGATGCAAACTTTACGACATTACTGCCAAAAAGTTCACTTTCTGCTTGTAATCCTAGTTCATGGTTCAAGGCCAGCCTGGGCAGGAAACTCTGTGAGACTCTTATCTCCAATAAACCACTCAGAAAACTGGAAGTGGTGCTGTGGCTTAAGTGGTAGAGTGCTCACCTAGAACTGAAGAGCTGAGGGATAGCGCCCCCAGGCCCAGTTCAAGTACCACAACCAACAACAACAACAAGGAAAACTCACTTTCTATACTTTGAAATGTAGGGAAATAAAGCTATATTAGAGAGAACCAAAAGGAAGGAATTAAACTACAATTAGAGCTGACATCGTTTTGCTTTTGTTTTCTGGTGCTGAGGATCTAACCCAGAACCTCAGGCAGGCTAGGCAAGTGCTCTAGCTATATCCTCAACCCAACAAAGGAAACAAAGACTTGAGATAAAAGTCAGGTTCCTGCCGGTTGCAGGTGGCTCACATCTGTAGTCCTAGCTACTCAGGAGGCTGAGATCTGAGGATCGCAGTTCAAAGCCAGCCTGGGCAGGAAAGTCCTTGAAACTCTTATCTCCAATAAACCACCAGAAAAGGGGCTGGGAAGGTGGCTCAGTGGTAGAGCACTTGCCTTGCATGCCTGAGGCCCTGGGTTCGATTCCTCAGCACCACATATAAGCAAAAAGAAAAAAGCCGGAAGTGGCGCTGTTGCTCAAGTGGTAGAGTGCTAGCCTGGAGCTGAAGAGCTGAGGGACAGTGCCCAGGCCCAGAGTTCAGGCCCCATGACTGGACCCCCCCCCAAAAAAAAAAACAGAAA